CTAATGGCTAATCATGTTGAACATCTTATTTGCCGTCCACATTTCTTCTTAAGTGAAATGTCTGTTCATGTTGTTTGATTTTTGTTGTTGTTGAGCTTTGAGAATTCTCTTATACATTCTAGCCCTTTTTTGGATATGTGGTTTGCATATATTTTCTCCCCATCTGTAGCTTTATTTTTTTTATCCCCACAACAGCATCTTTTATAGAGCAAACGTTTTTACTTTTGATGAGGTCTAGTTTATCAGTTTTTCCTTTTATGGGTCATGTATTTGGTGTAAAGTGTAAAAACTCTACCCCTAGATCCTGAAGATTTACTTTTTTTTAAAAAAAAAAGCTTTATAGATTTTTTTACATTTAAGTTTATGTTTTTACCTATGCTTGTCCCAATTGCTCCAGCAGTATTTCTTTAAAAGAATGTCTTTTCCCTACTGAATTGCTTTAGCACCTTTATTTAAAATCAGTTGGACTTATTTTGGTGTATTTCTAGAATCTGTTCCATTGATCTTTTTGTCTATTCATCCACCAGTACCACACCATGTTGATTATTGTAGCTTAATAGTAAGCTCTAACTTAAGACTTCATTCTTTTTCAAAACTGTCTTAGCTGTTTAGTCCTTTGCTTTTTCATATAAAATTTTTTAAAACATTTTTATTTCAGAGAAAGGAATAGAGTCATTGATTGGCTACCTCCTGCACGCCCCCTGCTGGGGATAGAGCCCACAACTTGGGCATGTGCCCTGACCAGGAACTGAACCTCGATCTTTTGGATCATAGGTTGATGCTCAACCGCTGGGCCATGCTGTCTGGGCTCCATATAAACTTTTTTAGAATAAATTTGTCTGTCTACAAATATAAGCCTTGCTGGGCTTTTAAAGAATGTTATAGATTTAGGAAGAACTGACCTTTTTACTATGTTCAGAGTTCCAATCCATGAACATGGTACTTTTCAGCATGTAGATCCTGTACATGTTTTGTTAGCTTTATACCTAAGTTTGTCGTTTTCTTTAGAGTGATTGTAAATGGTAAATTTCATTCCAATTTGTTTTTTAGTATCAAGCAAGAATTCCACAAATTACAACTCTAAAATGTGTCCTTTGAAGCTCTGGCATTACTTTCAGCTTTCTCCTACATATATCATTACTAGTTGTTTTAAATTTTAAGTGTAGAAAGGCTAGACTAGTCTGTTCTCCCACTTGATGTCAGATGTAGGAATAATCCCTTTTTATAACATGATTGTTATTGCTACTTGAAAACTTACAGGATTGGGAAGTAGTCTCATAAATAAGGGAGTTCATGTCAGCATAAGATNACATGATTGTTATTGCTACTTGAAAACTTACAGGATTGGGAAGTAGTCTCCTTATAAATAAGGGAGTTCATGTCAGCATAAGATAACTGATTCTCGTTGTTCATTTTGCTGTTGACTCATGGTCATTAAAGGCCTCCAAATTTTTCACCTGCCCTCCATTTTCTTGCCTTCCTCTTTCACATTCAAGGATTGAGTCCATCTCAGAGTGTGCCCTCTTTCATGTATCATTTTGGTCTGGATTCTTGATTCTGTGCCCTTCCCTCAGATATATATACATACCATAAGTGTGGTGTGACTCCAGTTTCTAATGACACAAGCTTTCCAAAAGCCCAGACACCCAAAAGTGATGGGAGTGTAGAAGTAGAAAGGTGCCTCAGGAATTCTACTGGCTTGTGAATAAGGATTGGCTTGTTTAGGTGGTGTGAAAGGAATGACCAGTCTCCCCCAAGTATTGGACAGTGATATGGTATTTTAACTGAGTTCTAAGATCTTGATATTTCTACAAATGAAGAAATAGGCTCAAAGGAGTTTTGATTTCCCAAAATTACCCAGCTAACAAATGGTCCAAGGGTAGTGGACACCAGAACCCTAAATTGTGTTGGTTAATTTAAGATTCTGGAGCCATACTCCAGACCTAAATGATTTCTGTGGCGGGGTAGAGGAGCAGAGCAAGCTCCTTGGGTGCTTATTTAGCATTCTAAGCTTTCAGAATTGGTGATCTTTGCCTCTATATTTTGAGTACCTTTTAGTTACAATGCACGTTTGGGCAACAGATGAATAAGTATACATACAAACAACTCCAGTGCAGGATAGAATGATATACAGTAATAAGCAGTGAAATACGGGTTTTCAAAGGGAAAGGAGAGCAGGTGAGATCAATGAAGACGAAGGATTTATGACTGGTAGATGTTAGATTTTTAAATTTTTATTATATATACTCAGTGCAGTATTCATTTCTCATTTAATACGGTGGTTCACAACTATAAAGCAATTTGAGCAACAGTGCATTATTATACTTCAGATGAAAAACCATTACATGCTGACTCAATTTCTTTTAAAATTTCATTTGGGGAGGCATACAATTATAGGTCTTTGTCAATTACATAGTCTTTGTGAATTTTAAGTCAGAGTGCATAAGAAGGATAAACATAACATGAAACTACATTTGAATCTGTAACATTTCAATGCTATTTCAATGGCTTATTTACCCTCTGTTTTGACATTCACATGAAAGAAAAGCATATCATTAATGATCCAAAGGCAAATCTGAGTGAGATGCTAGGCCTTAGTTAAATATTGTAGTACTTAAAAAGTTTAATTAAAAAACCAAAGACAAAAAGCTGTTAATAAATAGCTTACCCAACTTTAGCATAATTTTAATTTTGAAAATGAATACTGACATTAAAATCATGAAGCAAATAATATAACTTTAGAAATATTCAAGAATTTAGTCTTGCTTACAAATTTTACTTTTTTGGGTTAACAGAGGTAACATGCTTCTTAATCTCTTCTCACTTTGTGTCTATAAAAATAAAATTGTCCTCAATATTCTCTTTTCCAAATAAGGCCATTATTATATAGTAAGAAGTTACTGAATCATAGGTTTAACATCAGTGGCACAAATCATATGTAGAAGATGTAAGAAATCCATTGTTAGGTAAGTAATAAGAGTGCAATATAGTAACTAGCCATTCAGAAGAGGTAGAATTCTTAATCACAGTTTTGTAGAAAAGATGCAGTAGTTTGTATCTGTACTATTTTACTAGTTATAGTACTCTAAGTTTGCTTCTCATTTGGCAGTTAACAGAAGGGGGGGAACTGGAGGGCTCTCCGGAGGCAATGATTTTTTTGGCCATTGTTTTGCATGTGTTACAACAGGGACTATTCCTGGACACCTAAAGCATTTTCTTGGCCAATGAAAGTAATTGATCATATGTGGCATTTATCTCATTTTTTAAAAGCTTCAGGGCAGGGAAATCTAAGTTTCTATTCTCCAAAGGGCATAAGGAGGAAAATAAATCTCTTTTTATACCATTCTGAATGTAAATAATACATGAAACCATTCTCTCTAGGTATCAATTACTGCTTAACAATTCCAGCAGTACTAACCTACAGAGGGGTTCTATACTCAAAAGTTGACTGTTTCTAACTCATATTTGTCATAAACAATACTACAAATGGGTATAACCTAAAAATTCAATTCATGATGTAGCTAAATTACTAATATTTGAGTGACTCCACAGACAACAGTAAGCGAGGCTGGCACAAACTTTAGATACTCACATATGGAGTATTCAAACTTAGGATTCTGTAGGTCTCTAATCTTACTTGAATGTCAGTATCAATAAAATGATCAGGAAAGTGATTTTATGAAAGTTATAATAAAAATTGTAATAAGTATGTATACCCAGTGCTAAACTACAGTAGGGTTTATATTACATACAATGTACCTGAATACTTAGATTATTCAAACAGAATAAAACAGTTGTAAAAAAATAAAACTCATAGCCAAATGATGTTTCTTGTAGTTAACTGGAAATTACCTCATGATTTGTATTAGGGTTGGATCATTATGATGAGCCAATCAGATTACAGATACTAACCTAAATTTTTTTTAAATTGATTTTATTAGTCCTTACTGATTTTGAGAACTCAAAAAAGAAGATACTAATTTATGTTAGGCCCAGATCCTTTTAGCACTATTTCCTTTACAACTGCTGGTAATGATGTATCCAACTCAATAATCATGTTAAAATTAACATAACACTGTTGACAACATAAAAACAAAATTATTTCTCTCACATTTAATTTTAAAACCCTATACCTTAGTTAGGGATTAGACAGAATATGTCCTTGAGACATAGCAACCTTTAGCTATTTATTCAAAGAGATAATTTGACCTAATTTTAGTCATTGTGACTTAGCATTTTAAAGAATTATCACAATGTCAGCTTTTGGGAATGTAAGATAAGTATATAAAACTAATACTTTTTGCTAATATTTTTAATTGAAATATATTTGGTTATAAAAGTCTCACAAATCTTTTTCACAGCTATACTTCTATTTACAGTAGAAGAGGGACGCATATGTAAAAACAGAAAAGTTGGGTCTTCTAAAGATATAGTGAATCCATGATTAGGTTAATTCTCCAGATGATTTATAACTTCACATATTGAAAACGTCTACAATTAATTTGTAATTACTACATTTACAATGCAACTTCTGGGTAAGATAATCTTTTAAAGACATTGTTCGGCCCTGGCTGGTGTTGTTCAGTGGTTAGAATGTCGGCCTGCACACTGAAGGGCTGCAGGTTTGATTCCCAGTGAAGGCCACGTACCTGGGTTGCAGGTTTGATCCCCAGCCCTGGGCCGAGGCATGTGTGGGAGGCAACCAATTGATCTGTGTCTCACATTGATGTTTCTCTCCCCCTCTCTCTCTCTTCCTCTCCCCCTCCCTTCCTCCCTTCCACTCTCTAAAAGTCAATGGAAAACATATCCTTGGGTAAGGATTAACAAAAACAAAAAACATTGTTCAGTCCTGGCTGTTACAGGTTCCATCCTCAATAGAGGGGAGCGTGCAGGAGGCAGCCAATTGATGTTTCCCTCTTATATCAGTGTTCCTCTCCTCTCCTCAAACCAATAAATATCTTAAAAAAAATACAAATACCAAAACATTGTTTGGTGTTGTATTTAGGCCCGTAGTTCGTTTATTTAAATCACCTATGGCATATTTGCAAATTTTTTTTTAAACTTAGGAAAATGCCATTATTAGTATGGCTTCATTCAATTATACCTATAATCTACAAAATATTTGTTATACACTTCAGTACAACTGGAGCATAAGATTACTTGTACAGATGAAAATGAAGACTTCTTTCACATTAAAATTATAATTGTTTCACACTTATGGTAATAACTAAGAAATTTTGGAAAATACTATTAATGGTCTTGACTGTAACAACAGTTTACTGCATTTTTCTGTCTTTTTCAATATTATTAAGTACTCTGATATGGAATTTTAAGTTCTACTTTTTCTCTTATCTTCAAATAGACTTTTCAGCATATAAACTTGAATGGCTGATACCACCACCATTACCACTAAATTAACCAGAGACCAGAAGTTGACTCTATCAAAGTTGCTTTCTTGTATATTTCGATCACGAGCTTCAAATGCTCTAAGCAGAGTTTGGATATGACCACTTTTGCTTAGCCTGGACTTGATACTGTTGATGGATTCCTGGAGAGAAAGAAAATAATTTTACTATAAAAGAATGCTCGGTAATTTTAAGTTAATTTTAAAATGTGTTTCACAGTACCCTCATATTCATATGAGTTTTATATCTAAACACAATGTTAATTAAGGGACAGATGCTACTTAGATTACCTAAAGTTCTTCTATTAGGTTATGTCACAGTTCTCCTGATACATTTAAATTATTGTTTATAAATAGTTATTTAACAAAGGAACAAAGCTATGAATCGAAACTAAATAATTAAATATATTTGAGCTGGCACAGTGCCAGGAATTTTACATACATTATTTCTTTCTTAGTCCTCACAACCATAAGAAAATGACTGTTTTAAAAAACTGAACTGATAAGCTTTCAGGTATTTACCTTTATATAATGCATTGTGTGTTAATATTTTTTTCTTTGAAAATCTGGTCCAATATATTATCTAGCAAAACCCCCAATGTTTTTATCTCACAAAGTAGTGAAATTAGAAAATATTTCAACTTTATATGTCCATTCTATACACCCAGAAGTATAACCTATTTTTTATAAAAACATATTCCAAGATCACATTAATTAAACTTACCAAGATGCATTCTATGTTGTATATCTTCAGAAAAACTACTTTATAGAAGGGAAATGGTCAGAAATCATTTGAAAACTAACTATAGACTATATGAATATAAGGTAAAATTTAGTTGAGATTTCAAATGATGTCAAAGTTCTTTTGGCAAAATAAGAAAATCCAAGAAACAGATTTTCCTAGAGACTTATTTGCTTAAAATCCTTATTTAAGCACAAAATATACTCAAAGTTTCAGACTGCTATGCTAAGCCTGTAAAACAACATAATATTTATCACATGAGCATATTTGTAAAGAAATATAAGTATTTTCCAGAAAAGGGGTTCAGATCCTAAAAAAAACCATGCATAGTTCTTTTCAATAGCATAATGATAGTCATATATAAAATTATTCAAGTTTGCTATTGTGATACAAAATTTGGGGGGAGTAAATGGAAAAAGCTCCTGAAAGACACACTATTTTTTTTTAAGGGATCTGTAAGTATTTTAAGCCATATTTAAATCTAAACTTTTGGTCATTTTGTTTAACTGTGTGAATAGAGTCTATCTCTGGAGAATGCAGTGAAGTGCTAATAAGATTTATAACTACTTGTATTTTGTTGTTGTTGGCAAAAGAAACTTAAAATGGAGGAATATAGTTATATGACTGAGATTTTTTAAATGGGTGGGAAGACTAGACTACAGTGGAAGTACGGATATAACATTCCCATTTTAATTGTAAGCCAGTACCTTATCTAAAAAATGAAATGGAAGGGAAAAGGAGGAGCTAGGAGCTAGATAATAATATCTAAGTCATCTTCTAGCTCTAAATTTCAACTAAGTTTAATACACATACGAAATCATGATGAGATCAAAAATTGTCATGGTAAAAATTCATGCCAATCAAACTTTATCTTTTCAGTTTGTATTCACCGTAACACCAGTGGAAAAGGTAAGGAAACTAAGATTTATGTACTAGACACTGTTTAAAGCACTTATATGCATGGTATATCACATTTCATCCTCACAACTCTATAGAGATACCGTCCCCATTTTGCAGGTTTGGAGACCAAGGCTCAGAGAGCTCAGTCACCAAAGAATTACACATGTGACAAAACCATTTAATATTCTAACTTAAGCAAACTGATCTTTGTCTCTTCTGATGTAATTTGATCATTCCTTTCCTAAGAAACCTCAATCAAAATATCACATTATTTTTAAAAAGTTCAGGTGATTAAGAGTATTATAACTGTTATAGTTTCAAACTTGCAATCTATAGGAATTTCTACAACAAAGTAATACATGCTATTTACAAATATCACTGAGTAAATTCTATCCTTTGGTTACATCTAGCTGTGGCTGAAGGGTTATGATCTTTCCCTCTGTCACTGGCAGTACTATTATTAAATGCAAATAGATTCTTATACATGTACATTTCCTTATGCATGTTTACAACAAACAAAGCATAAAGAAATTCAAACAAAGAAGCCATATCCTAAGTTTATACTCCTTAGTGCTAGTTTCTGATAACTGCTAGGTCTGGTTTGAGTAGTATTCCCAAATCAAGTAATATCAAATTCCATGCTATAAAAACTATGATTTGGGAAAAATGCTTGTACATCTTAAGTTTTCACAAATTACTCAGTTTTATTCTATGTGCAAGTATGCTACAGATCATTACATTCTTCTGTTAGTGAACATTCTAAGGTGGTTTTATAGTTAAGAACCTGTATTCAATTCTAGTGCTTTCTCTGGTTATGTGACAGAAACATTACCTAATCTCCCTCATACAATTTCCTCATTGGAAAGATGGAAATAATCCTGATACACTTAAGTAAGGATTACATGAGATAATGCAGTTAAAGTACTTAGCTCAGTGCCTGTCACACAGTAAGGCCTCTAGATGTTAATAATTTTTATTATTTTATTAATAGACCACACTGACCAGGATGTCTTCCAGTTTCATATCCAACATATCCGTGCCAGTAATATATTTCTTCCAGTCTTCTTGTTCTTGCTCCTGTTCTCCCATATTATCCAGGATTAACTCAAAGAAAATCACCTTCTCAGAAATTGTGCTGAATGTATTATCAAAGCAGAACATGTAGTCACCTACTTCCGTCTCTACCCTGCATTAAAAAAAGATACACCTTTAGTTATCTGTACTTACATTTCAGATAAAGGGAAAATTACAGATATAAGAAATAATGGCTTATAACAAGTGGACAATTTATTGAGCGACTTCCTTAGTATTTAAAAAAATTTATAATTTTTTGGGAAGAGGCATGTGGAAATATACAGGGGTGGCCAAAAGTAGGTTTACAGTTATAATACAAATAAAGACTATAATAAATAATAAGAATAAACTCTTTCACAGACTCACAGGCGTAAACCTACTTTTGCCCACCCTTGTATATTCAAGTACTTGAAATGTGCTTGGCATTATGGTAAATGATCTTGACCTAATTTTTTGGAAAAAAACAATTAAAAACCTAGGTACATGATACCTCACAATGAACTTCAATATTTATTTATCTATTATTAAAAGTTCAATTCATATAGATATATCACTACAAACCTCCCCTTCAATTGAGATTAATCTGTAAAGTGAATTTTGTTTTATTTTCAAAAGCAATGATGGATTTTCCTAAATGCTTTCTTCCAGGCCTCCTACTGACTAAATACATCTCTGCAATACAGTTAGGGTAATACTAATTCAGTTGTCTGGAAAAATGTATTTATATATAACTCCTCATTACAATGCAGCACTAGATAAATAGGTATTTAATCTCTTTACTAACCCTGATTTCTAGGAGGACAGTATTTGTTATAAAGAGTTAACTTAAGCCTTGGCTGGTGTGCCTCAGTGTCAGAATGTCAACCTGTGCACGAAAGGTCTCGGGTCAATTCCTGCTGAAGGGCTGCAGGTTTGATCCCCAGCTTTGGTCTGGGCATGTTCAGGAGGCAATCAATGTGTATCTCTCACATCGATGTCTGTCTGTCTGTCTCCCCCCCTCCACCCCTTTCTAAAAATCAATGGGGAAAATATCTTCGGGTGAGGTTAACAAAAAAACAAACAAAAAGAAGATTTCACTTAAAAGAAAAAACTATTTCAATGTTATAACAGATTTTAGTTGCCTTTAAAGATAAAATTTTTGTTAAAATCTAATTTTTAAGAAGTAGATTTGGCTCTAGCTGGTTTTGCTCACTGGTTAGAGCGTCTGCCTGTGGACAGAAGGGTCCTGGGTTAGATTCCAGCCAAAGGCATGTACCTCGGTTGCAGGCTCGATCCCCGGCCCTGGCTGGGGTACGTGCGAGTGGCAACCAATCGATGTGACTCTCTCACATTAGTGTTCCTCTCTTTCACTCTCTCTCCCCCTTCCACTCTCTCTGAAAAGCAATGGGAAAAAATATCCTCAGGTGAGGATTAGAAAAAATTTTTTTTAAAGTAGATTTGTAGATTTGGTGTAGTGATTACGAGTTGGACTGCCTGAGTTTTAAATCCTGGCTTCACTGTTCACTAGCTGTGTATCCTTCCATCAGTTTACTTAACAGCTCTAGGCCTCAATTTCCTCACTGGTAAAATGATAATAATACCATGTAACTCATAGGACTGTGGTGAAGAATAAAATGTAGGAACACATGTAAAGTGCTGAGAACAGTGTCCTGGCACATCAAAAGAACTCAATAAATGCAAACTTTTATAAACTCATTTTTGTCTCCCAGTGCTTTAATGAGAGGTAATTCTATGTACTAAAGCAATAAAATACCTTTTCTCCTAAGAGTCAATATTAATTTATCTCTAAAAGAAAGTGGAAAATTGGAGAGAAATAGATTGACAGAAATTATATACATTTTCTATATTCTGAAATACAACGATGAACTACACTTTTTAGTATTTATATATTTATCAAAGAGAAAGTATAGTTAATCCCAAGTATATCAATCTAAACTGACTTTTTAAATTACTATTTCTCTATTAATAGTTTATGCAAATATATTTTCTGAGCTCTACATAGGTAAAATGCCATTTTACAGAGCACTGAAATGAATATCTTAAAAAAATTATGGTGGAGACATATTCCCACTCATTCACTCATACATGTATTCAGTATTTACTATCAGTTACATGCCAGGTACTTTGGTTAACAAAGACCAATAATTATAATAGTAGCTAGTACTTACATGTGTTATGTGCCAGGGATGTTCTAAGCATCGTATGGTAGAAAGTAAATATTTTGGTCCATCCTGCCTCCACTTAATAAATGTATATCCCTGCAGACTTATTTAACTTCTCTGAGCCTCCTTGTCTGTCAAGAATCCTTATCTGTAAAATGGGAATTAGGGAATCAAAGAATCTATCTCACAGTGGGTTGGAATAATTAATGTAGAAGCATATAAAATGCAAGGTCTAGTTTATGACAAATATTAGATACTCCTAGTTGCTCTTCTTCCTATAAACTCAGTTTAGTTTTAACACAACAATACTGAGTAATGAAAGTGCTAAAGTAAAATGAAAGGGCCAGGGAAACACCAGTGACAGATGAAAAAAGGGAAATGAGATATAAGACGAGAATATATGGCCTGGTTGTCAAACTTAAACTGAAAGTGTTATAACAAGTATTTTCTTTTTATATGGTTTTCTATGGTCAGATGTTTTACTTTCAGGTCTTCTAAAGGTCTAAAAAAGAGTGAGGTCTGAGTAAACTATTTTTACATAAACACACAAATGTATTTTACTGTTGTTTTAAAGAAGAAAAGAACGGACAAAGATGATATAGCCAGCAACTTTAGGATACATACCTGAATAATAACTTAAAGTTAAAATGGAAAGCCTGTGCTAGCCAGAAAGGCAGGTTCAAAATGCTGCAATAGATTGCATACAATACCTAAGGAATACTCATCTATTAAACCAAAGCAAGGAAAAAATTTAGTCAGGATCAATACAAAATACCTAAAGAAAAAGATTAATGGAAAACATTCTAGTTTTTAAAAATAGACCACTATCAAGGACTATTTAAAATGTTCATATGGCATCCTGGCCAGTGTGGCTCGGTTGGTTAGAGTGTCATTGAGTACACCCAAAAGGGTTTTTGGGCTTGATTCCTAGTCAGGGCACATGCCTAGGTTATGGGTTCAATCCCCGGTTGGGGTTTGTATGAGAAGGCAGCTGATCGATATCTTCTCTCTCTCCCTTTCTTTCTCTCTCTCAAATCAATAAGCATGTCCTCAGGTGAGGATTAAAAATAAATTAATAAAAATAAAATGTTCATAAGGAATCACTTAATACTGACATTTGGTATCAAATGTGCTAAATTTCTCTGCCCTGCAGATAGCTCACTGGTATTATTCAGCCCAAGGAATCAACTAAGAGACTGCTTACGTGTGAACTCCATCTGATTTTCTTTCTTCAGAAACTAAAGTTCTTCCTTCTGGAGAAGTAAGAGAGAAGTCAATATCTAATCCTGCTCCATCTAAAACCTGTAGAATAATACAGAAGAGAAAACATATATTACCAATTCTGAATATAAATTATATAAAGCAGATCATATGATGAAGATTTTCTTTATAAGCCTAGAGGGGTAAGAAAGTCAATGGACTCATTACGGCTAGAAAGGAGCAGGAAGATCATCTAATTCAATTCCATTAATTTTTGGAATTGGTCCCTTTCTTACCAATTCCTGCTGGCTATCATGGAAATTTAGGCCTTATAGGTATTACTGGAATAATCTTCCTAAAAACAGTGCCTTAATTGGGAAGCCCTTAGAGTAAAAAGAAACACAGAAGGGAGTTCAAACTGTGGACTTTTTACTTAGGCAAGTTAGGGTATCCTATGTAACTTTTCTGAGTTTGTTTTTCTCTCCAATAAAATAAGAATTAGCTACTCCTTAGCCTAGAACTCAAGACCATGATCTGACTGTGACTGACTTCCTCCACACATTCATCTATTATTCCCCAATATGAACAACATATTCAAGGTAAGCTGTCTACTTACTGGCCAATGAACAATCTGTTCCTTTACAATCCCAAAATGTCGTCCTGCTGCTGCTGAGAAGAGAGCAGCTCACAATTACAGTTTACGCCACACACTGTCTTTTCAGTGCTTTATGTGGATCAATTTATTCCTCACAACAACTCTAAAACATAGGTTGTATTATTGTTTTCATTTTAATAAAAAACAAAAAAATGGAGGCACAGAGAAATAATTTTCCCAAGATGATAGAGCAAATAAGGGGCATGGCCAAGAAATACAAACTCAGCAACCTCCCTCTAATGGCTACTCTTTTTCTTATATAACGCTCCGTTTTATTTTTCTTGGTGGCTTTAGTGGAATGATATAAAAGATAACCTACCTCCTGTGCTCTACATACTGATCAAAAGAACTTGTTTCAAATGGCTAGTTAAATATATACAATTCTTTTTCTTCTTTAAATCCCAATGAAATGAAGAAAACATAATACAAATAATCTATAACAACACTGGAAATCTAGGAAGCCTGTTAACAGACTTGAAGAGGAAGGTATTTCTGGAAGATACTCTACTGAGCAAAGGCTATATCTAGCTACCAATATCTATTGATCTAAAAACTCTCAATTAAATGTACATTACAAACAAGTGTAATGTTAGAAGAATGAACATGGAGATTAGAAATCAGAGAACTAGAAGGAGCCAAGGAATTCTCAGAACAATGTGAAAAAGTATAAATGAAAAGTAAGAGGAAAATGGTAAGACCTGTCATGAAGGACAGAGCTAAAGACTTAAAATTAACCTTCTAATAAGCATTTCAAAAGGAGAGAACCAAGATAAATGAAGGGAGGAAACTATCAAATAAGAGAATAAAAATTCCTGTTTCAAAAGATAAAATTCATTAGACTGAAAGGGTTTAATAGATGGGAAGCAGTATAAATGAAAAAAGATCTAAAAATCCTCACTTTTCCAAAGGATTTTGAAAGAACCACCTAGAAACTTCCAAAACTAGCAGTAGAGAATCGCAAAATAACAAGAATTGGAACTGACATCGAATTCTTACATATAATATGCAAAAAAACACAGTGGAGGAATGTCTTCAATGTTCCCGAGTAAAACAATTACAGTATTTACGGAAGTGAAAGCAAAAAGTAAAGCCATTTTCAGATATCCAAGGACTCAAAACATTCTAAAAGAATTACTCACGGTTATCCTCCAAAAAAGGTATCCCTTAAATCAGAAAATGAGCTATAAAACTAAGCAAAGATTTCTTTTTTTAAAAAAATATATCTTTATTGATTTCAGAGAGAGGAAGGGAGAGGGAGAGAGAGAGGTAGAAACATCAATGATGAGAGAGTCATTGATTGACTGCAGCCCGAAATCTGGGCATGTGCCCTGACCGGGAATCGAACCCTGATCTCCTGGATCCTAGGCCGATGCTCAACCACTGAGCCACACCCAGCTGGGCGTAAGCAAAGATTTCAACAAAACTAAGTTTAAAAGATATTTTTGGTAGTGGCTATCAGGCTTAGTGAAATTGTTAGAAATGGTATTTAAGAATACAGAATCTGCCCAGCTGGGTGTGGCTTAGTGGTTGAGCATCGACTTATGATCCAGGAGACTAGAGTTGGATTCTCAGTAAGAGCACATGCCCTGTTGCCGCTGGAACCCTGGGGGTGGGGGGGTGCTGGTGCCAGCCAATCAATGACTCATCATTGATGTTTCTCTCTCTTTCCCTCTCCCCTCCTCTCTCTGAAATCAATAAGGATATACATATAAAACAATACAATATCATTCACAATAAAATTAAAAAAAAATACAGAGGCTAACAAAAATATATAAAATACATATTTAAAATATGAATTATTTATTTAAAACACCATAATCCAAAACTAAACTCCCCCATGATTTTAATGGAATGGGATGGGCAGGTGCCACTTTCTCCTGTCTGTATGCTATGGTAATAGCGTTTCAATCCCTCAAAATTAGTCTTCTGTCTTATTTCTCAATGTCTTGTCATATGCTGTTCTTTTTACCCATCACCTTGTTCCACTCACCCCCTTAGTAAGCCTGATTCTTCTATATATCTGAACTCTACGTCCTCTGGGATGTCTTCTCTCAATTCCCAGATTAAATCAAATCCTCCCTTTAAATACTCTCATAGCTGTATGCATTTAGCCTCATAGCACTTATTAGAGTTACAATTTCACATTTATTTGTGTAATAATTTAAGGTCTGTCCCCATACAAGACTGTATAAGGGATTTTTACTCACTATTGTATTCATAGCACCTAGCATAGTACCTATATAAGTTAAGTGCTCAATAAAGATTAAAATTTTTAAATGAATGATCTGTTTTATTCATAAGATATATGTATTGGCATTTAAAAATTTTGAGAACAATATAATGTAAGGCTCGTCAGTTATCCTGAAAGTGTCCTCCTAAACCTGAAAAGAAAGGGTTAAAAATTTTCAGTTTGTTACAGTAACCCAAGTGCAGGCAGTTCCCTGAAATTTTAAAAAGGAAGACAAAAACCGGTTGTTTATACTTGTTGGAAAATTAATCATGGAGTAGGAAAATGCAAACAAAGGGCTGAAGATGATTTCTACCCTACACTCCTCTCCTACATTGTCTAGGATTATAGAAATTAAATGATTTTACTTTTCTCCCCAGTGAAAACAATTAAATAGTCAGGGAGAAAGAATGCTTTGGGGGAGTAGTTCTTTTAAAAGTGACTAAATATACAAAATATAAAGCTAAACCAAGCCAGCTATATAATAACACTAGAAGTGTAAATGTAAAAAAACCCTAACATTCATTTAATATTTACTACCTGTCAGAGATGGACTATAAACACTTATTAACTCATTTTTTTCAAATCTATGAGGTAATTACTATTATCTCTGTTTTACAAGACAGAGGTTTAAGTATCTTGTCCAAAACCACATAGATAGTAATCGAGAGGATTTCAACCCAGGCATTTCATCTCTAGAGCTAGAGCTCTTAATCATAAGAAGTCAGTAATTAAAGTTAAAATAGATTTCCTCCCTAACATCTGGGTACATACTGAGGAATTTTTGAATAATACAAATTGTTGTCTTACATGGACCACTTTACTGATTTCCTTGCCTCTAACTTTGACCTCCTTAAACCCATCTTCCACACTGCCCAGTGATCTGACAAACATTTTCGACCCTGTTACCATGCTGCTTAAGTCTTCAAAGGCTCTTGCACATAATAAGGACAAAAATACTTAATATGGTGCACACGGCTAAGGTGATCCATGATAAAACCTCCAGACCTCTCTCATCTCTTTTTCTTTTACTCACTCTAGACTTCCGAGACTTAAAGTCTAATAAAAACTCAGCAGTTGTAACGTCCACTACATACTGCCCACAGCCACAAAACCACCCCCACTATGCATTGTCAGAACCCTCTATTCATTTTATTCTTTTTCCTGAAATGTAGCCCTTTCCTCGCATTCTTGTTTCACTTAAGCATCTTTCTAGATTCAAATTTATTTTCTCCAGGAATCCTTTTCTGAAACCCCAGAGAAGTGGCCCTCCTCCATTAGCACTTAACCATATACTTTATTGCAATCACCTGTTTATGAGCCAATACCCACCCACAATTAACTATTTCAAGTGCCCCTTGAAAACAGGGGCTCTTTGTTTTTAATCCTACCTCCCCAATTACTGGCAATGGTAACTGCTCAGTGAGTGAACTTGTAACTAGACTGAAAATTTAAAAAATGTTGATGCCTGGCTGGTATGGTATAATGGTTGAGCATCGACCCAGGAACCAAGAGGTCACAGTTCTATTCTGGTCAGGGCACAAGCCTGGGCTTGTGGGCTGGAGGCAACGATCAATGATGTTTCCCTCTCATTGATGTTTCTATCTCTTTATCCGTCTCCCTTCCTCTCTCTCCAAAACTCAACAAAAACATTAAAAAAAAATGTTGAGGTCTGAATTGGGTTTTACTAACTATGTGACTAGATACTTTACTCTCTATGCTTACCTTATAAATTCTAAAGTCCTTTTGGATTAAAATTCTACATAACTCTATTTTGCTTTATATGTGACAGTACCTGTTACTGAAAAAAATTCCCTACATCAACTTTCAAAAATTGACATCTGATTATAAATTAAATAACTTGTAAAAAAATTAAAAGATGAAACACACCAACGCATCTGTTTTTGCAGTGCTACCTAGAGACATCAAAATTAGCTGTGTGGAACTAACAAGATTTCTTCTAGTAAATTACCCTCTACCAGAAGACAATTCCCTATATAATATTATGGAGATTCTAAAAAGAAACCAATGGTATTGAAGAAAAGCTTACAATGCTGAATGAAAGGTTATAACGTTTTAATTAGATCTTATTTGATTAAAAAAATATGTAACTGATAAGGAAATGTACCATACATCAATAGCCTCTTTCACAATATTCCAAAATCGGATTTAGTGGTAATCACATGGTCACAATTCAAAAATCTTAACTGAAGCAATCAATGACAGTTAAGATTTATAATATCGACGTTGGGTGAGGCGCGGTGGTGTGAATAAAATGAATGTCATCATCTCGTCCAATGATAAAGGAGAACGTGTATCAGTCCTGTCTTGTGAAATTCTCGATACTTGGAGTGTGTACTGACTAGCAAAGCGATGGGCAAGTTATGAAAGAGGAAAACCACCGACATCAGCAGCGCTGGCCCTCCTCCGACGGGAGGAAAGGGGAAAACGCAGACAGTCGACTCCAGGTCCCGCCTAACTTCTCGGTTGCCGGCCCCACCGAGAGCCCAGCCTGGCGCGCCTGCGCGGCGGCGGCGGGCTTCCCGGGCGGCCCTCGCCTCTCCACCGCCCGCGACGGTCCACAAGAAGTTTCCAAGCGGGTGAGAGGCGATGCAGCGAGGCTAGAGGAAGGACGCGGGCTCACCCTCCGCACTTACTTGATACTCGATCTCCAGCGAGGCCTTCAGGGGCATGGGCTGGTAGAAACACTCCTTACGGCCGGCCGGAAGGGTAAACGTGAAGTCGCTGTCCAAGGAGTGCGTGAAGCCCGCCACCCCCGGCAGCAGCGCTGAGGGCAGAGCGGCCAGGAGCAGCACCGGCAAGGGCAGCCAGATCTTGTCGCCCATCCCTGCCGGGGCGATCTCCGGCTGGAAAAGGCGTGGGAGGTGCGGGTTCTTGGCACGCAGGCTCCGCTTTTCCCTCCTGGACTCCTCGTGGTTGGGAGGGAAACCTGGAGGCTGAGAAACTCCAGGTGGCGGCCGCGGCGGCGGCAAACACTCCCTCCTAGAGCGATACACCGGCCTCGCAAGCGTAAGAACTGAGAGGGCGGGACCCGCAGCCCCTTTCCGCACNCGCGGCGGCGGCAAACACTCCCTCCTAGAGGGATACACCGGCCTCGCAAGCGTAAGAACTGAGAGGGCGGGACCCGCAGTCCCTTTCCGCACCCTCCTAGGTCTCGGTTCCCTTTGGCCCGGCTGGAGCACCGCCCGCTACACACGCCGACAGCCGCAGGTTCCCATGGCTTCCCCCACACCAATGGGCGCGTTGGGGGTAATTGTGGGAAATGTAGTTCCGAGCGACAGGGGCCAGACGCTCGCTCAGACCACGATCCCCGACATGCTCCGCGCCTCCAGCCGCGCTCTGCGCAGACTCTGAGCGAGGGG